CGGGCGCTGCGGGCGCTGCGGGCGGGGCGGCCCCGGAGCGCGGGCGGCCCCGGCTGTCGGGCCGCGGCCCCGCTCCGCCCCGGCTCGGCCCCGCACGCCGAGGACGACGACGACGAGGAGGAGGAGGAGGAGGAGGAAGGTGATCGCTCGCCCTCTCGCTCCCGCCGCCGCTCCGGCATGAGCGCGGCTTTCCAGCCCTCGCTGATGATGATGCAGCGCCCGCTGGGAAGCAGCACGGCCTTCAGCATCGACTCGCTCATCGGCAGCCCCCCGCCGCCCGCCCCCGGCCACTTCGTCTACACCGGCTACCCCATGTTCATGCCCTACCGGCCCGTGGTGCTGCCGCCGCCGCCGCCGCCGCCGCCGGCGCTGCCGCAGGGCGCCCTGCAGCCCGCGCTGCCCCCCGCGCACCCCCACCACCACCAGCTGCCCAGCCTGCCCACCGGCTTCTGCTCCAGCCTGGCCCAGGGCATGGCCCTCACCTCCACCCTCATGGCCACGCTGCCCGGCACCTTCCCCGCCTCCCCGCAGCACCAGGAGGCCGCCAGGAAGTTCGCGCCCCCGGGGAACTTCGAGAAAGCCGAGGGGATACCCCCGGACGGCGGCGGCGACGATGGCAAAGCCTTCCTGGGGAAGGACGGAGCCCTCCTGCCCTTCCCCGCCGCCGACGCCGTCCAGGCTTCTCTCGGTGAGTGAGCGCCGGTGCCGGCCGGGGGGAATCGGGGGACCCGCTCCGCGCATCGCCCCGGCGGGGCGGGCTGAGGGGGCCGGGGGACAGGAGGGACCCCCGGGAGGAGACAGGGCTGGCCCCGGGGGGACCGCTGGGCCGAGGAGAAGGGAGGAGGAGAAGGGAGGTTCGAGCTCCCCGCCGCTCGAGAAACTATCAATAGAATAAATCCGACCGAGAGATCCGCGGGAGAAAAAAAAAAAAAAAATTTCCAAAGCCATCAATTTTCGGGGGATGGAGCTGCAGGGCGAGGGGCGGGGGGCGCGGTGGCCGCGGCACGGAGGGTACCTGGTGCTAACGAAAGGCCTCTGCTTCGCTTCCAGCCGGGGCTCTCCGGGGCCAGGGCAAGGAGGACCCCAAAGCAGAAGAGGACGCGAAAGGCAAGGAGGAAAGTTTCTCCATGGACAGCGATCTAGACTATAGCTCGGACGACAACATCACCGGCCAGGCGGCTCACAAGGAAGAGGACTCTGGCAACGCGCTGGAGGAAAACCCCCAGAACCCCCCCAGTTCCACCAACACCACGTCCACGGGCAAAAACCGGCGGAGGCGAACAGCCTTCACCAGCGAGCAGCTGCTGGAGCTGGAAAAGGAGTTCCACTGCAAAAAGTACCTGTCCCTGACGGAGAGGTCCCAGATCGCTCACGCCCTCAAACTCAGCGAGGTGCAGGTGAAAATCTGGTTCCAGAACAGACGGGCGAAATGGAAACGGGTCAAGGCAGGCAACGCCAACTCCAAGACAGGGGAACCTTCCCGAAACCCTAAGATCGTGGTCCCCATCCCGGTGCACGTCAGCAGGTTTGCGATCAGGAGTCAGCATCAGCAGCTGGAGCAAGCCCGACCCTGATCTCTCCCTACGCTCAGAGCCACAAGTTTTTAAAGGGGAAAAGTTTCCAAATCGGGGTTTGAAAGCAGCCCACCCGAGCAAAAATAAAAATAAGAGAAGCAAAAAAAAAATAAAAAAAAAAAAACCACAAAAAATCAAACCCTTATATAAACAAACAACAGCCAACAAGAAAGAAAAACCCCAGGCGAGCGCTTGGCAAATCCCTGCCACGAGTGAATTTTAAAGCGAAACTTTCCACTTACTGAGTCCAGCGAGAGTCTGCGAGGGAAAAGAGTCTTGGAAAACTGCTGTGGTTCGGAGCAGGAGTATCAAACGCTGGAAGAGACACACACACACACACACACACAGACAGATATTTATTATCGCGCTGCCCTTGCTCTGGACCTGCTCATGCTGCCTCGGCTGCGCTGGGGACCGTGGATGTGGTGTGGTGTCGGCGTTGGATCCCCCTCGCCAGAGCAGCATCCCCAGCGAAACCCGCAGAGGCTTTAGCCATCTTTTGGGTTGTCTTTGTTATCGGGGGCGAAAGGTAAAAAAAAAAAAAAAAAAAAAAAAAAAAAAAAAAAAAAAAAAAAAAAAAAAAAAAAAAAAAAAAAAAAAAAAAAAAAAAAAAAAAAAAAAAAAAAAAAAAAAAAAAAAAAAAAAAAAAAAAAAAAAAAAAAAAAAAAAAAAAAAAAAAAAAAAAAAAAAA